TCATACGTCGCTAGGAGCGCTTCGCTTTTTTAAACTCTTTCTTTGTTAAAATCGCAATAGGTAACTACTTCTAGTCATGTTCTACGGAACGTGTTTCTATCCAATTTTAATCCTGATGATGTGTCCTAACACCGCTTAACACACCAGTTTGTTGCCAAATTTACGCCACCTTCTGTTATATAAAAGTTTTTAACCTTGTACATTTCGGCAAAAAATAGACTGAAAATGTCATCTTAAAAAAAATCTGTAACTTTAGGAGCGAAACTAATTTTTTGAAATCCCTTTATCCTATTTTGGCAATATCAAATATTTGCATAAACGCAACAAAAGATTTATTACTCAATTTTGCCAATAGTTTGGCAGAACCACTAACTATTTAGAAAAAAAATATTATTTTATACGTAAATGACTATAATTATTTAAAAAAAAATAATTTGAGCAATAGTACCTTGAATAAATAAAATATCAAGTACCCTGTCGTAAATTTTAAAACACGTTGAACCTTAATATCACTTCATTTTGATGCATACGGTGCTATATTAAACCTTACTATGAAGCTTAATAAACTTTATAATACGGTTATACTTAAATTAAAACATGGCTCAAATTAACACATTGGTAAGCTATTTTTATAAGCACTTTTCTATTGCTTATTCGTTCGAGATTTCAAAAAGGCTATTTAACAGGTCTTCTATTTAACTCTCTAATTGTAAGATGATCAACGTAATAGGAAATGGAAGAATGTTAGTATTTTAACAAAAAGTCAGAAACTGTTAATTACCCACAAAAGAATTCTGGTGAAATTATCGTACTGAATGGTAAGGACATTTCTGGTAAAAAAACACCATAATACAGGCTAATAAAACCAAAATATATGGTATTTAAATCATTCACTTGGTAATTTTTCTATTCATATGGTAACGGTTAACTGGAAATTACGGTTTTCAAAATTATAGTTCTTATTTCCACATATTGAGTAAAAAATACAAAAACAACCAGTAAATTTAACCGCATAAATGGTTTTTATGCCATGCTATAAGGTATCCTGATAAAATTAACATATTTTAATATATTTACCGAATTTTAATACATTTACCAAATTTTATCATACATTATCAAACTGTATTTAATTGTTAATTTTTTCAAAATCATTATCAAAGCCACTTCGCTAAAAATTACAGAGCATTTTACTGTTCTTAGAATAATGTAACCAGCAATATGGTAAATTTTACCATATTCTGGTAATTTTTACCATACTTTTTATCCAAGTGTAATTAATCAGGATTAGAAAATTGATGCATTCGTCTTTAAATTAAATTCTAATAAACTTAATTTTTCCCCTGACTGAATAAGTCATGCAAGTTACCTTTTCTAACAATCTTATTTGAAAGTTTTAATTATAAAGTAATTTATAAAGTTTCCTATAAACTTTTTTGAAACTATAATAAAGTGGATCCTTACACTAAATTAACATTAATATCCAAATCATCTTAAAAGAGCATAATGATACAATTCAAATATAAAACATTGTACGTGACTTAAACTGCCAAAAGAATTATTCATAATAAATTGAAAAAAGAAACAAAGAAATCATAGTCATTTTCTTTTGATTTAAAAATGGATAACATTGCAGCACAAATAAGAAATTAGACTTTTAAAGGTTACATTATTTAAAAAAATAATCAGAACAATTATAACAATACAATTTTCACTATGACGTGATGGCTCAGTTGTTAAGGCATTGTATTGTCATTTTAAAAAACTGGGTTCGATCCCCAGTGGCGGCTTGAATACCCCCTCAGATCGATGGCTACCAGTAGAGCTGACCATATTGCCCCAATCATGCCATTGGTCACGAAATTGTGAAGCTTTTACCTCAATGAGCCCCCTACAACGGGCTGTTACCCTTACTCTATGTTCACTTTTCCTCATTGTAAAATTATAATTTTTGAAGATATTTTACACATATTTAGCTTGTATATAAATTCCTGTTTCAATTATCTGATGTAAGTAAAATATTAAATTTGCTGTAAGATAATTTTACAGCTACAAAAAGTTAAAAATTCTAGAAATAAATGCATCAGTAATGTAATAGTATCAATAAATCAAATTCACTCCAGTGAATTGTTTTCTAATAAATTTATCTTATAAAATTGATAGTGAAATGCAAAGATTTTTTTATTTAATTGTTAGGATAGTTAAAATATATTAAAGAAACAATTTTCAGAAAAAATTATCTTTATTTAAATAATTTCTTAAAGAATAAAAGCATTCCTTCAAACGAAATAAATTTTTTTTATTTCGATTTTAATTTTGTACATTACTAGCTTATTCAAGCGTTCGAAGAATTTCCGGCAACCAACATATTTTGAGAAAAATTTTAATGGTTCAAATTATTCACCATATTAAAAGCTTTTTTTTTTTCTCGAATAACAACTAATTTTGCAAATATAGCGATGATTTTGATTTTCTGTAATTATTTGTAAAATCTACATAAATAATACCTGAAAATAATTTCACAAACAAGACATTTCTCTTTTTATGCAGAAAAAATATTTAAAAAAATATCGAGAAATAAATTTAACGGCAGCACGATTGGACAATTATATAAAAATTATCATAAGTGTTAAGACAAGTACGAGAATAAATTTAAATTAATAAAAGACCGTACTCGAGTCTTACACGAGGACATTTAGTAAACTAATTTATGCATCGATAATATTTAAACTGTTAAACTGTTTAAACTGTTATATTATAATAAAGTGCTTTAAACAAAATCTATATGCGGATAAAATTATATGCATACGGAATTCGCGAGAAGTTTTTTTTTTTAACCATTTTGTACATTCAAATATCGTTTTGATATAGATAAATCCATTCATTAATATCAAATTTATAAATGATAAATATTAAAATTCTTACACAGAATTTTGATTTAAAATTATTTTGTAAAATTAAATAAAATTAAATAATTTTAAGAACTTTAATTTAAATAAATTGTAAACTTAATTAAATAGAATCCATAAGAAAGAGATGATTATTAAACTATTAGCTCTAAAATATTTTTATATACACGGAAAGTTAATTTTAAAGATGTGTATAATGAAAATAGTTTCTTCATAGTAATATTTAAAAGTAATTTAAGTACTACTACAAAATTTGAAAAAACTTTTATTCAATTCGTATAAAAAGTTTAATGATATACAGTTGCTTACATTTATCATACCAATCAATGATAATTAAGCTATCATAAAAATTTCCAAAAATATCAATTTTAAATTTTTAACACTTTTAGCTCAATAATTGTTGAAGGGATTAAAAAGGCTCATAAAAGGGGATTAGAAAAGTTCATAAAAGGAGTTTAAAAAAAGTGCATCAAAGTAGATTAAAGCACAAAAGGAGATAAAAAAAAATAGCACAAATACATTTTTAATGCTTCTTAAAGCTACATTTTAATACTTTTAAAACATAAAAAAAAAAATTTATTTTTAATTTTTAGATAAGATCTTGGTTGTAAAAGCAGGCTCTTACAGGCGATAAATTTAACTGAGTAATTTAACTCTGTAAAGTTTGTTTCTTTTTCTTAAGATGCTTCTAACTGAAAAAACAACTTTACGAACTATTGGTTAGTATCCGTTTCGAAACAGGGAAACGATATTTGACGCAAAATTCCGGTACATCAATTTATACCCTATTTATAACCTATTTATTACTTATAACCTCATACTAATTTATAAAATATTTGACAAATATATTTATGATTATCGAATTTACATAAATCAAATATATTTATGGTTTTTAATGCTTTTGATTTTCTTAAAACATATTCTAAATATCAAAAACAGACGCTTTAAGTTATTCCTTTTTTAAACATTTTTTTTTTATATTTGCAACAACAGAAAGATCAGTTATCGACCAATGTATGAATGATATGCATATAGATTACTGAAATATTTTACTTTAACAATAAATGAAAACAATTAAAGAGTTTCTTTTAGATAAAACTTAATGGTAAGTTAAAGAATAACAGACCTCACAGAACTTTATTAAAAGTTGACTCTTAAACTCTTACTTGAGCTACATTTACACACAGTAACTACTCCACATTAAATGAATTTATAGTTAAATTTAGGTCAAATTGAATGAATTTGTTACAACTAGCAGACTTCCATTGTATGATCTTCAAAGTTTTAAACTAACATTCATGCATGTAGTAATGGGTAATTCGAACTTACTCGTATTTGTTATTAAATACGATTTTAATCTATAATTATACTACTTCACATATTTTAGGATAAATTAATATTTTTCCTGATCTTATAATCATGTTTAGAGCTTTATTTAACTAAGATATAATTGTTGAATCTTTAGAAAGATTGCTATAAATTATTTATATTACAATCGTCTCCTTAGTTTGTTTATAGAACTAATCTTAATAAAATTAATATTCGAAACATTTCGACATCAGTAATAATATTTATAATGTTGTTGTTTTTTTTAACAATTTTAGTTTTTCGTAACATATTTTTTCTCTTTAATAATTTTTCTTATTCATTTGATTCTCGTTTATTTTTACTTTTTTTCTTCCTTACATATTATATTAAACTTTGAAACATTAAATTTTCTAAAATAGCTTCATCTTTGTTTAATTGAAAAATATATATTTTGATATATATATAAATCAGATTCTAGAAAGTATTCTACCTAAGAAATTCAGCAGGTTTTAAACAAATTGTTTTAAGCCGATTTTAAGCAAAAATTATTTTACACTATGATTGCGAAAATCGTTTAGCTCTAAGTTACTGTTTAATTTTCCTTCTTTTTTTAAGTAGGTGGAAAAAATTTAAAATGTGCTCAGAACATATTAGTCAACAAATGTTCTGTAAGCTTTGTTATTCTATTAACTTACCATTTTTAGAAATATCCAAAAAAATCCAAGAACACTTTAAGAGTAATCCAATAAATCCACATAACACAATCGTTCGTCAAATCCTACCTACCTCGAATTAAGTTTGAACTGTGTATTTTCAAAAATCAATTCTTTCTCTTAAGGTGCACGTCTTGTTCCTTCAAAGATTCAAAAGTTTTTTGTTGCACTTTTGAAGAGTGCTCAATATTATTTAAAGCGGCCTCGGGAATCTGGGCGGAGTTACGCATCACGTGGTCCATATACGTCATTCATTAAGGTTGTGAATAAATAAACTTGGTGGTCATTGGTCGGATTTGCTACCCCTGAGGAGGGACTTAACTGCCTTGCTCATATAGCTATAAGGTAGATACACGCTGTTATATTTTCGTGGCTATGTCCCTAGGCAATACGGATGTTACCTAGATTAGAAACGGGAAGATAGAGAAAAAAAAATAATATAAAGATTGCTTCATAGTAGAAAGAAAAAAAGATGAAATAAAAATGATCATTCAGGTTTCTAAGTCTGGCGATTTATCTTTTTGTTCTTTGATGAAATTATATATATATTTTTTTTTAATAAATTATGTTGTTATATATATTTTTTTAGTAAAACTGATTTGAATAAATTTAAGATATTTAAGGATGATTTATTTACCCAGAAATTTAGAATTTTAATTAAAATGTGTTTCGAAATATTTAAAAAAACAAAAAGAGATAAAAGGTTTAATATTATATAACAGTAGGAAAACAAACCTGTCTCTTTATAAAATTGAAAGTCTATCTACCAATGTTTTTATGTACTCTATAAACTTCTGAGCCGATGCACTTATTTGGAAAATGTTTTTTAGAATAATCGTGACTTCCCTGAAAATTGCAGTTTGCGCATTATACCGAAAAAGAAAAAAATAGAAAGTCTTCTGTTTAAATCCATTAGTACAGATTAAATTTTCCTTGATATTTTTTGTATGACTAGACTTGCCGATGTGATGCATAAACTGAGAATAATTTTAGATTTAATTTTTCATCCTACTACATTAATTTGTTTGCATACAAAAAAAAAACATTTTTCCCCTTTTTTTTTATTTTGTTATAAAAAAAACATTATTAAAAAATATTTTACTTCATAACCATCGTTGAACAGCTGACCCAATTTTGGGTTAACGACAACTAATGTTCAACTCCGCAGCCTTGTAATTTTGAACCCAACCCAGAAGACAAGGAAACTCCTGGATCAAGTATCAGGTGAAATTTGTTCTCGTGAACCCTCGAAACCCGCGAAAACCTCCAACGGTAAGCCTGACTGCAATGGAACTCTAACCCCTTATCCGTCTACCACTGAGGATATCTTACGTTAGCATTGTGGTCGATGCGTGCCGGCTGCGGTATTCGTATCGAACCGCCATCGCTGGCATTTGAACCCTCTCACCTCATTGGAAGGCGAATGCTTTACCTTATGAGCTACCAAGGCTCCGAGTCAATTATTAACATTTAATCAAATAAATCATTTATATTTATTATTATTTTTTAAAGGCAGACACCGAACTCTCATCCTTCGCCTTGGAAGATGCCGGAAGTGCTGCTCTCTAGCTTTACCCGATGGGCACACGTGAACTTAAGTCATGGGAGCGATCATCATTACTCACGCCACACTGCCACAGATGCCCGTTCATGGGGTGGGTGACATTCACACTCACACAACATAGAACAATACCCAGAGAGAAACATCCATGCCCCCAGCGGGGTTTGAACACGCAACCATAGGCCTCAGTCAGACACGCTGACCGCTCTGCCACCTGGCTGGCTATTTATTAAATGCTATAATCAATATTTTTCAACAGTTCAAAAAACATTTTTGTTCCTTTTTTTCACTTAATTGTTTAAACAAAATCAAATATGATATTCTCAAACACGAAATTCCACTATAGTCTAAATTTATTCGCTTTTAGTTTAACACATTGGATGACCTAATTATTTATTTATTATCGCTATACATATTATTTTATTTTTTTTAAAAATACTTATAACTTACAGAAATTAGGTGTTTAAATATTTTCATTTCTAAGACTTAGATTAAGTACACTCCAAATCCCGGGCCTCAATATGTAGATTTAGAGAAATGCGTAAACTTAGAAAGTCCATTTAAATTTCAAAACGTAAACACAATATAAAGCTGAATTATTTTTTTACCTTATTGAATTTTTGCTTTAATATATTATTGATATTTTAGATGTAAGTATATTTCTTTACATAACGACTTGAAATTTATAATTACTATTTGAAACAAAAGTCGCTAGCTTGCGAAAGAAAGTTTAAAATATTAATAGAATGTTAATTAAAAATAAGCACACAGATGGATATTTTTTTTAAAAAAACGTGCTAATTTGTTATAGTTTCAACATTATCAGCTAAAATATTTTTTTTGTTTAAAATGCAAAAACGTTCCAAGTCTACTTTAAATACGTTATTTTTCCAAGCTAAAGTGGTAGATAACAGTAAAAAGCATCCTTTCGGTTTAAACAAATTTATGTATATCATAAGTGTTTTTCATATTATATAGACCACTCTTTGTAATCAGCCATTAGTGAATTAATAAATTCCTGACAGTTACAGGTAAAATTGCTTTTCATATTATGAAAAATATGTATTTATTGTCAATTAAAACTTCGATCATTGTCCAACTAGCTAGAGTTTTCAATTATAACTATACTTCTGGGTTGGAAGACAATCCTAGTTTTAATAGTTTCTAAAGTCCATTAAAATTAATATCGCTATGAAAAAAAGAATTTATTTTGCTGCTTTATCACCAAAAAGAGATCACTTATCGAAATTCACACCTTCTTCGTTTTTCTAGGATTCTCAAATTTTAAATGGACTAGTGATAATACAAGTTGTAATTGTTTCTTAAATGGTTTAAGCAGCTTCATGATCAAACTGCAAAAAGAATTTCAGTTAAATGTATTGGGTGCATCATTCATGAAATCTATTTTTATCGTAAAATTTAATACTGTAAGTTTTACAATAATATTTATTTAATTACAGTGATTTTACCGAAAATATTACTATGAAAATTACGGTATATCAAACTGTTTGTTCGATAAATTTTTACGATAAAAAGTACCGTCTTCCCGAAGGTTCGTATTTTTACTGTAATTAGATTCAGAATTTTTTACAGTGCATTTCCTCGTTACTTTAAATTATCGGCCATTTTTGGACTTGAACAGACGCAAAACTTATTTTAAAAAAAGTTTGAAAATAATGAAATACTGTTACAAATTTAAAAACTGCATTCAAGTATATTTTTAAAAAGAAGAAAATAATTTTTTTGTCAGACCTAAAGCGAAAAACGTAGAAAACGCTTAACTTTAACAATAAACTTTTATTTTCACTAAAACTCAATTCCTCCAAATTTTTCAAAAATGATAATCCTCTTATTTTTTAGAACTAAAAAAAATTTAATTACTTATTGCAAGTTGATTAAAAATTAAATATTTTCTAATCAACTTGCAAATAAGTATGGCGGCAAGTTTTGAGTTTTCGCCAAAATTGCCAACTGCACTTTATACAAGTACCTTTTAAACTGATACGTAAGAAATATGCAAGAAGCAATTCCTTCTTTCAATAATAATTCTAAGATGCTCTTCTAAGGACTCTAAGAATAATTCTAAGATTCAGTAAGTTCAGAATTATTCCATTAAAAAGTAAAAAAATTAATTAAAATTCCAGAAGCCTCATGCATTGCAAAAAATTCCGGATCAGATTACAGTAAAAAGTACCCGTTACTTTTTTTACCTTAAAACCTATATTTACCGGATCTTCTTTCGGAGCAAAAAATCTGATATACAGTAATTTTTGCAGAAATAATTACAGTAAAATCACTGACTTGCTCTAGGTAAATAATTATCACTGTAAAAAGTTCTGTATATTATTTTATGGTAAAAATGAATTTTTCGCATCCAAGGAGCAGGTACTTTATACAGTAATTTTTACAGTGTAACATAACGCATTCATTTAATTGAGAAAGTGCTTATTTGCATTGAAGATAAATTTAAATAGTCCTATAAATTAAAGTTTTTTTAAGACTAAAAATTTTAACTGAAAATCATTTAACTATTCATCTTCTTAAGTTTTTTATTTAGTTAGCATACAACTTATTTATTTATAAATAGAGTATTGATAATTATAATTTGAGTCAGAAATTTTGTTCGCATATGTTTTTATATTATTAATCAATGCATGAAATTATAATAATATGAACTGATTAAACAATCACTTATAAACTATATTTATTAAATTATTGCATATTTATTTAAGCTAATAAATCTAATATCTATTATTTGCATATATTTTTTGATATGAAATATACTTTATTTATAAATAACTATCCATTGGGTCAAACTTTTGTTGTTATGAAGACATAGAAATAATTCATAAATTTAAAATCATTATCCGTGGAGTTAGTTAAGCTCAGAATTGTGTATATGTATGTATTTGATATTTATATGATATAAATTAACTAAAGTTGTGCGCAGAGTATAGTTTTTAAATATTTTCAATAAAATCATGTAAATGGGGAAAATGTGTTGAAACAAAGATATTGAAGAGATTATACTTTTTTCAACTATACATATCATATACATATGCATTTGATATTTATAAGACATAATTAATTATATTTGAGCCCTGAGGATATTTTTTAAATATTTTCAATAAAATAATGTGACTTGGGGAGAAAGTGTTAAGACAAAGATATTGCATGGATTATCCTTTTTTTCAAGTATACATATGTATAGATGTTTGATATTTATAGGATATAAATTAACTAAATTTGTGTGTGGAGGATAGTTTTCAAATGTTTTCAACGAAGTCATGTAACTTGGGGGAATGTGTTAAGAAATAGATATTGCATAAATTATCCTTTTTCTCAACTATTCCATTATTTCAATCAATTTTAAAAAAATTAAAATTTTCAAATATATTTCTCTACATATTTATTCATTTATTTTAAATTTCTCTATAGATTTCGATTAAAATTTAAGGAAAGTGAATTGATAATAATTACTGGTTTGACTGATAATACGAGGTCTACATTTGCACGGAGAAAAAAAATTCTGGTAAAATTACCCTACTATACAGAAATGAAATTACTGGTAAATTTTACCATATTCTAATAATTTTGACCATTCTTTTTTTCTCAGCGTGGTTCAAACCCACATTCACTTAATTTTTTCTTAAT